TGCACGTGGCACCTGGCCCTCCCAGCCACAAGCAGAAAGGAGCAGTCTAGGACGTCCACCAGCTATTACTTAACTAACCACTTCTTAGCTTACTTTGTTCCAAGGAATTCTGCGTCCACAAAGCAGGAGGAAAGGAGAGTGAATGTAGGGATTGGTGTAAACTGATTTTTTTCTTTTTTTGCATATTGTACTAAGTATACTTAATATTTTAGTGAAATGAACGTGAAATCTATGAAGCCTCTGTGACGTCAATGTTCTAACAAATATAAATCTTATTATATGGCTTAGACTAGTAGGGTTTGAAATTCACAGCCCAGCTATGTTTGTAACAGGTCTCAAAATGAGGAAGTTAGATCCAACAATCCTGCAGGCAGCACAATTACCTGCTCCCAAAATATTACTGATGATTTGATAAACTGGCATACACTGTCTTGGACAAGGAGATGTGTCAGCTGAAAGCTAACTGTAGTCCTCAGAGGACAAGTCACAGAGGAGATCACCCCAACAGGGAACCTAGGTTGCAGCAGCTCCACAACCCAGCCCTTCTCTGTGCCCTCCAGATCCATGCTCTGGTCACCTGATAGAGAAAGTACTAACCTGTGGGTCTGTGAACAACGAAAGCAAAACGAGAATCCAAATCTTCAAATTCAACTAAATGATGAAGCCATTTTCATTTAACGGCACAAAACAACTTAGCAACCTTTTGCACATTATTCTTGGAAACAATCTGCAAAACTCTTTTATCAACATAATATTAATTTTAAACCACTGCCATTCATTTTTATAGAAATGCCTTAAGATCTCATATTTTAGCATCAAGTAGTAGGTCCAGACACCACTGGGCAAACAGGATTAAAGGTGAAGGCATGGCCTCTGAAATAACAAGAGGCAGTAACTTCACCCTGCTTTCAAGACTTCTAAAAAGATGTCAATTTTATGCAACTGAAAGTAATACAATCTCAACACAAGAACATACAGAAAGTCCAAGTGAAGTTGAACCTAGACTAGGTAGAGCAGGAAACCAAGACACATAAATGTTGTAGACAAAAAAAACCAGTCTTCAGCATTGCCTGATCCAAGACAGACAACCATGATGTTTAAACTCAAGCTACACTAACAAGAACAAACCAGAAGAGGTAATCTGATGGAGAGAACTCCTCAGGAGTCAAGTTCCAGATCCTGTCTCTTAAACCAGCTGTACAAACAAGCTGTATACAAACCCAATTTCCTCTGAGCATACTGATGCTTAAAAAAATTATAATACAACACATAATTTAAGATAATAATGTAATCAAAAAGTGACTCCAAAGTGCTAAATACTAAACAAAATAAAAACAGAAGAGATGATAACAACTGGAGGGTGTGAAAGTACCTACCTAGATGGCATGCAATATGCAAGTATTAAAAAAAAAACCACCACACACACACACACACACACACACACACACCAAATAGTTAAACTAATTAAGATATAAAGATTGTATCCCCTTTAAAGTGTTTCTTTTTACAATGGCCTTCAACTGAACAAAAACAAATACTGCCCTCTTCTAAAAGAAATTCATCCGTTGTCCCACTAGTTACCAGCAGTGGGAAGCAGAGAGTCGCCGCAGCTGTGAGCCAAGAGCCCACACACCTGCTCTTCACCTGTCAGACTGAACTTAAGGCAAATCCCAGCCCCAGCTGTCTCGTCACAAGAGCCCTGTCCCATCTCAGGAACTGGCTTTGTAGTCTCACTCCTCAGTGTAGAGGGAATTTGCTGGATTACAACAAGGATAGCAACCCCTCCCCCCCAATAATCTGGGAACCATTAAAAGAACATTGTCAAATCACAAGAGACTGACTACATAAGTGACAGTTTCTCTATACAAGGCAAAATCATGCAACATTAGAAAAAATACTTGCAGATTCTTATATGAAACAGTGTTATGTTACAGTGTTAGGAAAAACATGAGGTAGAGGGGAGGCACAGTATAAAACACTTTTTTTAAATGACTTCAACTCTACGTTAAAAACAAAGTCATGTGGAACTTATTATCAGTATCAAAATTTATTATAATATGGTGCTTTCACAGGGACAAATAGGTCAATGAAACAAGAGACCAGATTAAGAATCCTAAGCATTTTTAGGATCATGAAATAAGATAGAAGAGGCATTACAAAATTCTGAGGCAACAACAAATTCAATAAAAGATGCTGGAATAATTAATTTTCCATGTGGAGAAAAAAATGAGACTGCTACCTCACTTCATTCTTAAAAACATAAACTCCAAATGTATTTTGTCTTGCACATGAAAAAAACTTCAAAACTATTATAAAAAAACAGAACAATAATATAAGTGAAGAATGGACAAAGGATATATTTATCTAAAATACAAAAAAGAAAAAAATCTGGAGAGTCAATATGAAAACATGCTAAGCCTCATTAAGTACTCAGGGAAATATAAATTAAAATAAAATACTGTGAGATTAGTAAAAAATTTTAGTCTGAACATACCAAGTGTCCAAGCGTTGAAGACAATGTAAGGAAATGGAGGTAGAAAGAAGTACAGTCATTAACTGCTTATAGGATTATAAATTTCTAGTATGGCATATAGAATAATTTTGATGCATGTGGTCAAACTGAAAATGAGCACTATCCTATGAATCACTATGAATAATTATTCCAATTCTAATTACAGCCTAGAAACCTGGCACACATGCTCAGAAAGGACATGTGTTAGAATTCCCAATGCAGAGTCATGGCTAATAGCAAAGGGAAAATGCTTTTAATGCACTCCAGATGTTCACTGATTGGTAAAAGAATACATACATAATATGGAGTAGTATTCTGTGAAAGTATACTACAAGTATTACCAACCAGTAAAAGTGAGTGAAGGAGGTACATATTTATTAACATGGCACCATCTCACCAATAAACAAATAGCAAAATGTAACAAAGTAAATGTAAACACCTGTAAGACAATGTTTATGTTGTTTTCGGAAACATCAATACATAGCACAACTAGAAAAACAGGACTAGATACGCAGTACACTTGATACAGCAGCTGCCTCTTCTCAGGAGGCAGTGATGATCAGGGTCAGTGGTACAGAGAGAGGATGGGGAATAACATTAGGGAGAGAATATTAGAGACTTCATCAATAATATAGTGGTGGAATGGCTCATTGGAAAAGACCCTGATGCTGGGAAGGATTGAGGGCAGGAGGAAAAGGGGAGGACAGAGGATGCAATGGTTGGATGGCATCACCAACTCGATGGACATGAGTTTCAGCAAGCTCCAGGAGTTAGTGATGGACAGGGAGGCCTGGCATGCTGCAGTCCTGGGGTTGCAAAGAGTTGGACACAACTGAGCGACTGAACTGACTGATAGTGGTAGAAAAATGGTTTACTGCAAAGAACTGATAAAATGCTAACCTCTGCTTTAGGTGGCATTGCATGGTATTTTATTATTATTTTATCCTCTGTGCTATTCTGTAATTTGCTAGTATATTGTTTACAATGCATAGAAAGTGGCAGAAAGGAAACATAACAAAATGATAAGAATATTCTACTTTGGGTAATGAGGACAAAACTTTTTTTTTTTTGGTTGCTGCTGTACTTTATTTTTGAATTTTTTCATAATAAGAATAATTAATTTTAGAATTGGGGAAAATTTTATGTGTACAGATAGTGATTAGATTCCATGTGGTTCTGATTCACACAAACTCACACATATACTTTTGCATCTAAAAGTGCTAAGCAACCAAAATACAAACCTATCTTGAAACCCCTAAATTTTCATAAAAAATTAATGTAGAAACAAGATAACAAAACTCTTTTCTATAAACAATACTCTAGTCTTTGAGAAAGGATAAAGAAAAAGGTTCCTTAAAGACTATAGACTATTAATGTTTACACCTCTAATTGTACAAAAATACAAGAAAGCTTTGTAAGAAACAAATTTGTCGCACATTCTAGTACAAGTTTTTATATTATCATGATAAATATCTTGTGTAAAACATTTGAAATTGGAGTATAAAGCAATAAAACCTGTCATTGTACTCCATCAGAAAACAAAATGCTAACTTTTTTTGTGTGTCTTCTTTTTTTTATTTTTTCATTTATTTTTATTAGTTGGAGGCTAATTATCTTACAATATTGTAGTGGTTTTTGCCATTCATTGACATGAATCAGCCATGGATTTACTAAAATGCTAACTTTTATTATCTGTAACGAATATCAAACTACTTAACCTTGTCAAACCTCAGTTTTCCCATCTGTACTAATAACATGAGTGTCATACCATGCCTATCTCAGAGGGTGTGGAAATCAATACAGTAAGGCAGTTCAACAGGCAAAAGTATGCAGGTCTGCTTTGCTGGAGGATGCAGAGCAAGAAGCAAGGGCCAAGCTTCAGACACAGCAGGCATCCGTGGTGTAAACCCAATGTGGAAAGCCTCATTTGATCAGCAAGGGAAGAAAGGAAATAGTCTTAAAAGAAAGCAACCATAATATAATGAAATAATTTGGGAAAACAGAACTTTTTGCTAATGAACAGACCAAAAAAAAAAAAAAACCCTTTAAATACTGATACTAAATAACGACGCAACAAAAGGATTCCTATAACAATGGTTTCAAGAAACAGTCCCTTTCACTTAAATTGTAAAGCCTACATGTGAGCTACAGCCATTTACGTACACAGACACAGTGCATGAAAAAAGCACAAAAGTCAAGGCAGCTGGATCAGAATACTGAACTGTTTTCTCCACAATGTTGTTTTTTTTTTTTTTTTAATCATTTTGTACCCACTCAGTGAATAGTCATTCTTGCTTGTCTCAGCTCAAACATAAGGGGGTGACTTAGAAATGAGACAGCCCAGTTAACTTACCAGCCAAGCCAAATCAACCTAACAGCAGGCCTTAGAGCCGGGAAGTTCTCAGGTCTATAACATTGCTATATCAGCTTTTACATTAAACAAGCAGCAGAAGAAATAATAAGCCCCAAATTTCAAACAGCATCTTACCAGGGTGATGTCTCGAGAAGCTGCAGCTGCACTCATATGCAAACTAGGCTGCCTTACAGAACTGCTACAATCAAGGGCTCGGGCAAACGTCCCAACAGCACTGGATAAACCATAACAACAAAGAGGAAAGATTAAGGCACTGTTGTTCTTTTATCTTGGGAAAAAAGAAATCTGGGTAGTAAACGAACAATTGTAAAAGTCAAACAAGTTCTTTGATGTTTAAGATTCAAATATCAGATAAAAAGTATTTTCTTTACAATTTTAGAAATGACAAGCCAATTCACTATATATATAGGTCATTATAATTAAATTAAGAAGCTTGTGTGGCATTAAAAAGGGAAAGATCTATAGTGAAATTTCATGTACTTAACCATCTGTGTTTCAAAAATGAGAAATACATTAGATACAGAATTTGACTATTACTGTAAAGCAAGTTGTGGCCACCTTTTTAGCCCAAATGGTGACATTCCAGTAATGTTTTTCCCTTGAAATGAGATATCACCAACTGTAGCAACCTATTACAACTGTAGTTACACATTCCTTTAAGGAATATGTAACAGATTTCCATTTAAGGAAAGAAAAACAATTATCACAATACTGATTTAAATTTAATGATTTAGAAGGCTTTTCCATATATAGAGAACTCTAACTTCAAGAAATAAAACATGAAGAGAAGATTTCCTGCTTATTGTCTACGCTTTAACATGTTAGCTGAGGAAGATTTTTTTTTAAGGTTTTAATTAAAATATAAAACATATGCAAAAAGCACACATCGTACCACTCTTTCGTTACCACAAAGTCAATGCATCCATGTCAGCAGCATGCAGGTCAAGACTTGGATCCTGACAGTACTCAGGTGACTGTGTTCCTTCCCAGTCACCACGCGTCCCCAAGGGGAGCAATCCCAGATTCTAACACCCAAGGTAAGTTTTGCTCAAGAGAGAACTTAAACAGAATCATGCACTGTGCACTCTTCATAACCAGCTTCTTTTGTTCAAAACCATGTTTGTGGGTTCACCCGTGCTGCCTGCTGTAGCTGTGTTCATTCGTCTTCCTTGCTGTGGAGCATTACTTGGCGTGGTGTCCCACCCCAACCCTCCTGTCGATGAACATTTGTTTCCAGTCTGGGGCTACTATGGATAGTGCCACTGCTGCCATCTTTATACATATATTTTGGCACACAGATGTATGCATTTCTGCTGGGTATATATTTAGGACTGAAACTTTAGGGATGTGTGTGTTAGATGATAGCAAACAGTTTTCCAGAGGAGCTGTACCAACTTGTGCTACAACCAATAGGATATATGGGTACTGGTTGCCCCACCTCTTCACCAATGCTTGACACTGGAATGTGCAGTGGTGCTTAACTAGGTCTTAATTTGTACTTAATTTTTTTTTTTTTAAACAAAACTTGAAAAAGATACGGGGAGTATTTCCTTGGTGCCTCTCATGCTGGCTTCAAGAAAAAAGAAAACATGGCCCTTGGCAATCAGGAAAAGGAAAGAACAATAAAAATCAAATCTGAAACTGCAAAGCCTACTAAATAAACCAAAATCCAGGTAACCTGTCTGGAGACTCCAGGCCAGCGATTCCACCAATGATTCAGTCCCAAATCTTCATTTCAGTCTCATCTATTTCACTGATTGGCTCCTCCCCAGCAACGTACACCAATCAAGTCTCTTCATCTAATCAGTTAGTGGCTAGGCATCTGGGCTCTGGAGTCTGAATGCCTAGCCACAGATAACAGTGCATAACTTCCATGGTGATCAACACTATGAACAGTACAAAGGATGGGCTAAGGGCTTCTGTCCTTTGCATTATGACAAACATTCAACAAAAAATTAGAGAATATAATGGAGATGATTATAATTATGTCCAGATCTACCTCATTCTAATATTTTGCCATGTATGAAGCAATAAATATATACTGTACAGCACAGGGAAATACAGCCATTACTCTGTAATAACTTTAGATGGAATATAATCTATAAAAATACTGAAACACTATGTTGTACACCTGAAACTAATATACTATTGTAAATCAAACATATTCCAATAAAATAAATAAATCAAAAACTAAGCTAAAAAGATAATATTTTGCTATATCTGGTTCATTCTTTAAGGAAATAAATATTATAAATTTCATTAGAGCCCCCATATACATTCCCAGAACTCATACATGCATACATAATATGCATGTGCATACATAAGCCCATTAATGAAATAATAAGACATTGTTTGCATATTGTAAACTTTTTCTTTTTTTAAAGTCTTTATTGAATTTGTTACAATATTGCTTCTGATTTTTTGGTGACAGGCATGTGGGATCTTAACTCCCCAACTAGGGTTTGAACCCATACCCCCCTTCATTGGAAGGCAAAGTCTTAAACACTGGACCACCAGGGAAGTTCCCACTGTAAACTATTTTTATCAGTTGATCATACATTTTCTTTATTCAACACTATTTTTGAGGTTTATCTCTGCTATGTATAGCCCTATTTCATTCTTTTAATCTCTGTAAATTAAATTTATTTTAATTGTTGTAAATACTCCATTACTAAATAAACCTCAACTCACTCATCAACTGCTTACTGATGTACTTTTAGGTTTTTTCCAATTTTTTTGCTTTGACAATGCTATGATAATATCTTTTACTTCTGTTTTGCAGCAATTCCTTCAAAAATATCATTTACTTTTATAATTGAGAAAATAAAACTAAACTTCTAAAAAACAAAACAAAAAAACTAGACTTCTGTCCCATTCTTTTCTCAAGAAAAGGGGCAGGGGGCACACAAGACAGTCAAGGAGCCGGACTTAGAACTCCTAAGGAAAGCCTTACACCTGGCAACCGACCTTACTCACATGTGGTTGTAATCAGAGGGGCACATTATTATTTACACCTGAAGAGTCCCTCATGTGGAGAAGGAAATGGCAACCCACTCCAGTGTCCTTGCCTGGAAATCCCAGGGACGGGGGAGCCTGGTGGGCTGCCGTCTATGGGGTCGCACAGTCGGACACGACTAAAGTGACTTAGCCGCAGCAGCAGCAGCAGTCCCTCACGGGCTTAAAGGAGATCACTACTTTAGTTAAAGATACGGGATTTCAGCTGTTGAATTTCTTCTTTACGATTTTTTGCAGTGCTGAAATTTTTACAAGGAGCATTTATTTTCTTAATAAAAATTAATCTATTTTCATTTTTAAAGCAAAAACGAATGCCAATAAATCAATATTATTTAAATAAATAAATCACAGTATTTAGGAAGTAGTGTGATACATATTAGGCTTTCTTACACAGAAGAATACAACCAATGAAAAAAAGCAGAACGCAAAGGAAAACTCACAAATCTTCTATGAATTCTTTCATATGACAAATATAACATACGTGAGTGTGTGTGTATATATATCTTGACTCAACAGCGCCATACTCACCGGGCTACAACTAAAAATTGGTCAATCTGTCGGTCTGTAAGTGGGCTATTTGGGTCCCAAACCTTTACTTCCAATTTTGACTGTTCTCTCTCATCTGATTCTCCTGTCCAAGAAGAAAGAAAAGGGAGTCTTGTTACTCACAAGGCACATACACTGTCACATATGATTGATGATTGTGGTCACCACGACTTTACAACTATAAGGTAAATGTTCATGGTTTGTGTACATTTCTTCAGATAGCAGATGTAGAACACTCTGTAAAGAGAATGTTGATAACACAACCAAACTACCCATGTGATGTCTTCACTTAGTCATTAACATGTCTTTTCCTGAGTATTCACATGTGTGAGGCTCCAAGCCTTGCTAAAGGAGATAGAGACACAGAAGAAAGCTCTCTTGCAAGACATTCAAACGATGGTAAAACTTACTCGTAAAGAACTATGATGCAAACGAATAGGAACCGGTGTCACAGAGACATACACATATGACTGCAAGATCCTGAAGAGGACAGAAATCATTTTAGGATAGCTAGGGAATGATGTCATGCAGGAGGTGGCATTCCTGCTAAAAAACTGAAAGGTGTGGATGCACTGGCAGGGGGAGAGAACTGAAAGTAAATGAGAATAGGAACAAAGTCGTGGGGTTTTAGGATGTGGTAGGAAAGTAGCAAACTTTGTCAGGAGTGCATGTATCAGAGAAGAGACAGCTGTTAAGAAGTGGGATATAAAAATACTACTGAAGATGCTACACAGGGTTTCCGAATAGATGTCTGTCTGGAAGTAATACGATGCCCTTGCCTTGTTAGCAGGAGAGCGTCAGAACGAGAACCAAATTTCACATCTTACACTTAGCAATGGAGTAATCTGCTCTACAGAGACATGTGATGTAGACAGAGAGACAAGGTATTGACAGGGATAATAAAGAGCCTAGAGAGGATATTTAGGGATATCAATGACAGACTGGTATAACGGGAAGGTTTCCAGCCTTGAGAATTACATAGACAGTGTTGGCATTAACAGAGAGAAGGAAACAATAAAGAGACTGAGGAGAAGACTGAGGCTAATACAAGATGCTTTCTTTTAGGAGTGTGTCACAAGGAGATAGACCATCATGCAAGATTTCATCTTAGGACAAAGGATAGTAATGGACATGGCAGGCAACTTGGATTCTAATTTACAGCTATGACTTTCCTATCAGGCTAGGGACTGGTCCGGGCTTTGTTTTGGTTTTGATCACGGCATCTTAATCTCAAGCAGAGTGACTTGCGATGAATGACAGACTGTGAGGCTGAACAGCCCCTGGTGACTGATGAATCCAGGCTATGGGCTTATGATGTGTTCCCTCCTAGGCCGGGAGGAAGCAGGAGCTGAGGTTCAAAAGGAGAAGGGGGCCGCAGAATCCCCAGCCCAACCATCTGCAGTCTACTAATTACAGCCACTGCCCTCAGGGCCAGGGGGCGGGGTGGGCCTGTCCATCTTGCTCCCTCTGCAAAGGCAGGTAGGTAACCAGAGAGAAAACAGCCACCACCAACAAAAAGGAGGGCAAACAGACCAGAGTGAATACTAGTCCAAAGACATCTAAGGTGTTTAAAAGGATTCTGGTTTTCATTGTTTTTCCTTACAACACATGCTCAGTCACAACATTTAACTGATTCATTTTAAAAAACCAGTTACAAACCCAAAAGTCTGTAAACACGAAACTTTTGAAAGAAAAATGAAGCAATTGTACTTCCCTGTGTCTTCAAGAAACACACTTGTAAGTAAGATGAACAGTAAAAAAAAAAAAATTAAATCTACATTTGTAATCTATATTTTCAAATAATACAAAATGAAATGAAGATGATATTCAATATTAAGCCCCTTCTATTATATATCCCCGGATGTAAGGCTAATAAAACTGACACTGACTTTTCAAATTCAAGTTGGTTAAATTGATAAACTTCAATCCTATCCATACATTTTGTAGCATACATAATAAAGAGAATTCAGTATAAGAATTCTAAATAAAATTGCTATAAACAATAATAAAACACTCTTGAGTGTTTTTCTACTAACAACTGAAACATACAACACCATGGGATGGGAACAAAAACAACAACAACAACAAATACAGAATGTTCTATTTAAAGTCACTCTAGAGAATTCCCCATTTTGGATTCATCACATAATATTTATATCAGTTTAATCCCTTTTCACAAGGGAAAATCTTTTAAGAAGCTCTAGAATCTTATAACCAAATACTCAACAAAGCTAACAGCAATCTGGAGAATGGTCTTGGGGAATGTACTAAAAGCCAAAAACAGAACCAAGATGAATTCTATACTCTGGTCATGTTCATTCCAGTCACTACAATAATCTCACTTTCTTCCTCCATTTATGATAATCTGGACAATTTCAATCTGCTCTGGTCCCACATTCACCTATGAAGATCTCTCTAATCTGTGAATTCCTACAAACTATATTTACCAATTAATTACATATAGCATCCTATTTTTTGCTTCATATGTTCCTCTTCATAATTTTGAAAAAATATAGATTCAGCGATGATTTTAAAGGTTTGCTCTAACCCTTCAACTATAGTTTAAGATTTCTAGAAAGTAATGACAAACTACTTCTTAAGTATGCCCCCAAAGAGAACAAAATGTTCTTCAAAGACTGGAAGAAAGAAGGCTGTATGAAGATAGCATCTTACAGATCCTTTGATGGACAATTAGATATTCTTCGTTCTAAATATAATTCATTTTCTCTACAACAACCATAAGAATATATTATATTCAATTCAGAAACTCAGATGCCATTTATCACCATTTTTATTAACATTATAAAAGTTCTGGGCACTGTTTTAAGTTATGCATCAAAGGAAAGTTACTAGAAACAAATACTGTGTGACATAACTTCTATGTGGAATCTTAAAAGCCAAACTCATAAATACAGAGTAGAATGGTGGTGATGGGGGCTGGAAAGGGGGTTGGGGGGAATAGGGAGATTTTGTTTAAGCAGAAACACTTAAAATAGTAGGCAATGCACGGCACAGTGATTACAGATCGCAATCCCGTTACCATCAGTATAAACTTCAAAGTTGCTAAGAGCCTACATCTTTGCTCCCACCACAAAAAAGAAGTAATAATTACATGACATGATAGATGGCTAATGCTTTGGTGGTAATCAAACTGCACTATATAAATGTAATCATATGAAAACATTAAACATACACTGTTATATGACAATTATATCTCAATAAAATTAGGTTTTAAAAATAAATCATAAGTAAAATTTTTAAAAATGAATATATAAATATCAGTGGCATTCCAAAGAGAATGAAAACAAAAATGTAAAAAAATTATATAAATAAATTACATAATTATGGCAACAAAAATATAAAATGCTAAGAAAGAGAACTGAAAGTGGTGCTAGTGGTAAAGAACCCATCTGCCAATGCAGGAGACATGAGAGACACGGTTCGAACCCTGGGTCCAGGAGACCGCCTGGAGAAGGGAATGGTCCACTCCCGTATTCTCGTCTGCAGAGTCCCATGGGCGGAGGAGCCTGGTGGCTACGGCCCCTGGGGCTGCAAAGAGCTGGACATTACTGAAGCAACTGAGCACTCATGTTTATATAGAGAAACTACAAGACTTTCAGAAAATAAAGGATGACAAATACAGAAGATTTCAAGATCTTCAGTTCAGTTCAGTTCAGGTGCTCAATCACGTCTGCCTCTTGGAGACCCCATGGACTCTAGCACACCAGACTTCCATCACCAACTCCTGGAGCTTGCTCAGACTCATGTCCATCGAGTCGGCGATGTCATCCAACCATCTCATCCTCTGTCCTCCCCTTCTCCTCCTGCTTTCAATCTTTTCCAACATTAGGGTCTTTTCCAAGGAGTCAATTCTTCACATCAGGTGACCAAAGTATTGTAGTTTCAGCCTCAGCATCAGTCCTTAAAATGAACATTCAGGACTGATTTCCTTTAGGATTAACTGGTTGGATCTTCTTGCAGTCCAAGGGATTCTCAAGAGTTTTCTCCAACACCACATTTCAAAAGCATCAATTTTTCGGCACTCAGCTTTCTTTATATTCCAACTCTCACATTCATACATGACTACTGGAAAAACCATAGCCTTGACTAGACGGACCTTTGTTGGCAAAGTAATGTCTCTGCTTTTTAATATGCTGTCTAGGTTGGTCATAGCTTTTCTTCCAAGGAGGAAGCGTCTTTTAATTTTATGGCTGAAGTCACCATCTGCAGTGATTTTGGAGCCCCCCAAAATAAAGTCTCTGTTTTCACTGTTTCCCCATCTATTTGCCATGAAGTGATGAGACCGGATGCCATGATCTTCGTTTTCTGAATGTTGAGTTTTAAGCCAGCTTTTCCACTCTCCTTTTTCACTTTCATCAAGAGGCTCTTTAGTTCTTCTTCGCTTTCTACCAAAAGGGTGGTGTCATCAGCGTATCTGAGGTTAGTGATATTTCTCCAGGCAATCTTGATTCCAGCTCGTGCCTCATTCAGCCTGCCATTTCTCATGATGTACTCTGCAAATAAGTTAAATAAGCAGCGTGACAATATACAGCCTTGACGTACTCCTTTCCTGATTTGGAACCACTCTATTGTTCCATGTCTGGTTCTAACTGTTGCTTCTTGATCTGCACACAGACACACAGATTTCTCAGGAGGCAGGTAAGGTGGTTTGGTATTCCCATCTCTTTAGGAATTTTCCACAGTTTGTTGTGATCCACACAATCAAAGGCTTTGGCATAGTCGATAAAGCAGATGTTTTTCTGGAACTCTCTTGCTTTTTCGATGGTCCAATGGATATTTGTAATTTGATCTCTGGGTGCTCTGCCTTTTCTAAATCCATCTTGAACATCTGGAAGTTCATGGTTCATGTATTGTGGAAGCCTAGCTTGGAGAATTTTGAGCATTCCTTGCTAGCGTGTGAGATGAGTTTAATTGTGCAGTAGTTTGAGGATTCTCTAGCATTGCCTTTCTTAGGGATTGGAATGAAAACTGACTTTTTCCAGTAGTGTGGCCACTGCTGAGTTTTCCAAATTTGCTAACATATTGAGTGCAACACTTTCACAGCATCATCTTTAGGATTTGAAA